CCAGCCTGGCCACCATAGTGAGATCCCATCTCCAGAAAAAAGAGAAAAATTATTAATAGCTGGGTGTGGCGGCATGCACCTTTAGTCCCAGCTACTTGGGATGCTGAGAAGAGAGGATTGCTCGAGTCCGGCAGTTTTGAGGTTATAGTGAGCTATGATCCTGCCACTGTACTCCAGCTCTGGACAACAGAGCGAGACCCAGTCTCAAAAAAATAAATAAATAAATAAATAAATAATCAACAGAAGTAAGGCAAGGGTGAAACTCTTCAGCATGAACAAAAATAGCTGGAAAGGATGGAAATCAAAATATTTCTGATCCAGTGTGACTAAATGTGGAAATCCTTAGTGAGCAGAGCTGGCAATATAGTTGGGACATGTGAACTATAAAATGTGGTTGTCACTGGCTGAACTGTGTCCCCCCAAAATTCTTATGTTGAGCCCGAACCCTCAGTACCTCAGAATGTGACTGTATTTGGAGAGAAGGCCTTTAGAGGTGATTAAGTTAAAATGAGTCTGATAGGGTAAGCCCTGAACCAATCCGTCTGATGTCCTTATGAGAAGAGGACACACATTCAGACACACACAGAGACCCCAGAGGAAAGGCTATGTGGGGACACAGAACGCCGCCATCTGCAAGCCAAGGAGACAAGCCCCAGAGGAAACCAAACCTGCTGACACCTTGACATCAGACTCCTGGCGTCAGAACTGTGACAAAGTAACTTCTGTCGTTTAAGGCGCCCAGTCTACGGCATCTTGTCATGGTGGCCCTAGCAAGCTAATACAATGGCATACGCCACCATAAGGAATTTTGACTTTATCTCAAAAGTCATTTTGAAGCAGAAGTGGAGGTGAGATGAGACGAGACCTGAGTTTTAGGGAGACCGCAATTGTGGTAACGCGGAGGAAGGACTGGAACAGGAAAACAGACTTGAGCCACGGAGAATAACCGGGAAGCATCGGCAGTGGCTCAGATCTAGGTCAAGAAGGAGGGAAGGAAGAGACAAGTAGAGAATTGGGGCAGCGTCAGAGCCGGGATTGATGGGACTTATGTGTAAGTGATCTTGACATCTGACTTATTCCTGAAGATGAAGACTCTAGAAATTAACACGATTTGGAAAACAGTGCCGTGTTCTGATGCACTAGAAAAGTTCCGAAATAGATAGAGACGGTTTATCTTGGTAATCTCTATTCCTAATAGGAAGACAACTCAACACTATGTTGACAAATGGCCAGAATGAACTCATTAAAGGAATACACTTGGTCTTCCTATAGCCTAGTTCCTACCGGATTAGAAAAAAGGCATCCCCTTTTGAAAGTAGCACTAATTCTTTCATGTCCCTGAAGAAAAACTACTCAGTGCCTTGAAACAAAAAATAAAATGATATCCTGGTGACTTATGAGGAATGTGTGGCTCAAATGCAGAAATCTGAGAGCAACTTTTGACCAGGACTTTTGACCCGGATGCCAGGGCAGCCGCAACCTAAACTTTCCTGCATTTGCATCACTCTGACAGCCCAGGTGCCCACGCGCAGTGACTCACATGCGATGCGCACGTACGCCTTCCGGCTCTTCGTGGTGCCCGCCGAGCTCCAGGCCACACACTGGCACCAGTAATCTTCAGGTCCGAAGAGTTCTTCCACTTGCTGGCGCGAAATCTCAATGCTCACTTCCCGGACGATGAGACCTGGTGAGAGAAAGAAAGACTCACTGTAGGGAGGGAAGGGCATGCCTTTAACCCGCACTTGGGTGAGGCAAAGACATAAAGTGTAACTATAATGTTTGTAGCCTCACAATACCCTGCAATAAGAAAAAAACAAAAAACAAAAAAAGAAAAACAAAAGAGGTACAGTGTGAAGACACAATCCCTGCCCTAGCCTTCGGGTTAGGTGGGCAAAGGGGTGAGCCTTCAACCCTCTCTGCCTCTCCAGAATCAGTCATCAGTGAAATCAGAGGTAGAAAGAGATACCACTTCTCTTTCCCCAGATTCATCTTCTAAGGCACTAGCACACCTGCTATGATTTGAATGTTTGGGTCCCCTCTCTAAATTTTTGTGTTGAAACTTAATCACGAATGTGATGGTATTAAGAGGTGAGGTGGGGCCTTTATGATTCAGTCACGAGGGCAGAGCCCTCACAGATGG